AATAAAAAATTAAAAAAAAAAATATTGACACCATGAAAAAAAAAGAAACACTTCAGGAAGGATTTGTATACCTTGTGGGAAAACTAGAGTGACCAGAAAGGTTCTGTAGATCTCAGCAAGGAAATCATTCCATAGATAGGCAACTCTGGAAGATAAATGGCAGGCAACAAGATTATGGAAAGAGATAGAGAAGATATGAATAACATGTGCTTCTCAGATATTAATCTATGCACTGTGGAAATAATATAAGCTATAAGATTTCTTCTCATTTTTCCACCCTGAATAAAAAAGCATCGCTCACATATTCATAGGAACTGTTCCATTTTTATGTCTTCATGTCATTTTTCAATCCACTGTTAGACTGAACTGAAGTGCTTTGTGCCCTGTTTCTTATGTTAAAATAAAGATGTGCTGTCTCCTAACACAAAACAAGGCAACTGTGGGTTGCAACTGTGTCCTGCACCAGTTAATCAATTGCCATCTGCACTGAGTGCCAAAGAGTAAAGGACTAGAGGGGAAATGCAAGATAAATGGGCACTAACTACCTCCCAAGAATTTGGATAGATGTCTCATTGTTGTAAATAACAATACACATGAAAGGTTGCCATTTGCATGCACAACATTGTCCCATACATATTAGGATAGTATAAAGTTATGCAACTAGAGCCAGGAGATGCTAAGTAGTAGGATGACCATCTCACAGCCAGGTAGTAGAAGAGGATAGTGAATGCACACCTTCTAGTTTTCACTATTATATTTGCTTCTTAATTCCCTGTGGTTGTCCTAATCATTACACAGTTTTGTGTAGTCTTGGCTTCACAGACACTGTGCAGACAAATAACTGAGTTTTTTATATAAGGTCTGTTCCTGCTTTATTTGTTGTCTCAGAAAGTTACTTAACTTGTGTCTTGATTCCTTTACAACTAAAGCAGAGATCATAGGACCCCATACTCCAGAAAGATGTTTTAAGGACACAATTATATGTGACTCTAGTGTGGAACATACATCGATTTTTTATCATTGCAAATATGTGTTATTTTACATTATTAAAAATTTTGGGGAAAAATTACTGTTTTTTTTAAAATTCAGTTCCTTTAATACCCGTGTTGGTTGACCTTAGCCTTGACTGTGATATAGATTTCCCATCTGACCCATGCTTACAATTAAAAATACTTGTAACTTAATAGCATTATATGAGTGATTTTTTTTCCTGAGAATGATATAATTGCATTTTTGTTACATGGCTAATATCAATTACAAACTGAGTATGAGGCATATTACTTTTTATGAAAAAATATCTCTAAATTTATTTGGAAATTGGTAAATAGATGCCATTCAATATTTTATTCTTTGACTATGCTGCTATAATGGTCAAATATATAACTCGTGAAAGCCATGTAATCTGATTGAAAACGAAATCCATTCTTCCCTTATGTTTCTTTTTATAGATATGAGGATGAAGGTTATGCAGGGAAGGCAGAACCAGTTTCCCCAACAGTCAATGGATGGAGTGTCCAAAAGGAACGTTAGTCGTCGTGCTGTCCCAGAGGAAGGAGCCTCTACACCTGCCCCGAGGATTCCCAGAATCACATCCCAGGGGCTCACCTGTGTTCCAGGATCTCTTGCTCAGCAGCTGACCCTGCAGGAGCCTGGGAATTGGAAGGAAGCCCAAAAGCAGTTGCTCAGATACCAGCTGGCAGGCCACAATCAGCTGCTTCTGTTAAGCCCAGACCTCAGGCAAGAGAGGCAGCAGGGTCAGGAGTCTAGCCAGCAGAACAAAGGGAGCAACTGCATGGGACTTTCCCCAGAGGAGGGTACTTGTGTTCCCTCTGAGGCTGTCTGCCTCCACACAGCACCACCAGAAGCTATACAGCAACAGCTGTGAGCGTGGAACACTGTGGGTGTTTGTATGAGCAGGGAAAATGTTCAAAATTATTTCTACATGGTAAATGGGGGAAGAGCGGCCTGATTTGGTAGGACATCTAAGGGAGAATATGGACTCTCAATCTTTTGTCTTTAATACGGAAGACAGTCAGATAAGGGCTTGTAGACTGAGGCTGTAACCGATTATGTCTCTTGTACCTATCATTGATCCTACCCAATTCCAACAAATAACAGGTTCGCAAACACTTGCTGATATTTTCATGAGTTCAGACTTGTTGTAATGCAGCCAACTTTATACCTGTGATATACTAAACTTCACTATTAGGAACTGTGATTTAAGATTCTATTGCAGTGGACACCCAAAATGCTTCGGGGTTGTCTTGCAGAAGACTTGGATTGGGTTTAGGGAGTTGCAGTTGTGTCTACGGTGTTTGAGAACATTCAAGAGGCAGCTTGTTCCTTACTATAACAAAGCTTAGTCTCCAAGAAGGGTCAACTTCATGACAGTTATTTTTAGATTTTATTTCATTGCTTAAATTTATTCATTATTGGGAGATTTCTTCATCATAGATATCATTTGTATGTCATGAGTATTTTTACTGGAAAGACTGTGGATCACATGGGCTTTGTTGGGATTTCGATTAATAAAGAAGCAAACATACTAAATTTATGAAAATTTTTCTTGATGTATTGTAGTTACATTTTACATTTCTCTTATTGGTTGGATCAAATTTACAACTAAAAGAAAATTCTCTTGGCAGACAAAAGATAATCCTCCAAAGTTAAAATTGATTGATTAAAACTTACTTGATTATCAGAGAACTGATATTTTTATCAAAGGCATGTGTAAGGGCTTCCCAAGAGAATAAGAGAGATTTCATTAGGTGTAGTCTCTTGAAGCTGTGCTAAGAGAAACAAAAGGTGAACCTGTGCTTTAAAAAAGGAAGAGTGAATTATTTTAACCACATGCATATATTTGCACAGCATTCATTTCTACTCAAGCTAAATAATAATTAAATGTACTGATTATGACTTTTGTCTGGTTCCCAGGGGCCCTTATGACCTGAGAATATGAAACAAAGTTTGCAGAAGTGAGGAGAATTTCCACAAAATGATACTTTAAGATATTCCCCTGAATATAAGCCAGGATTTCCCAGTATCTGAGGGGCTCTCCTGCAGTTGAGATATAACATAAGCAAGAAATACTGTCCTATATTGCTAAGGCTTCAATAATGGCAGCTGAGAACTAGAATCCATAGGAAGCATGGGTGGAAAGCAGCCATCAACTGGAAACTATATCTCTTCCCACCACGAGTTGGCTAGAGCCATCTCAGTCTCTTTCTCATTAAAGATTCTTGAAGCGTGTCATGAAACTCCCAGTGTCTAGAACTACTCTGTTCTGAGGCAGCTTCCCTTCTTTGTGGCGCTGTACTGAATGCTGAGGGGGGTGAATGTGATGCTCTCAGGGAGACTTAAATACAGTTTGTTTGTATGCTGGGAACAGCATGAGACAATCTAGACTATAAAAACTTATTCTTGGGACATAACCTAGCTGCCTCAGGATAAATTTTTACAGATATATTTTGGGGGGACAACAAAGGTGTCTTAGTAACAAAATAACTTCAGGAACTTTGAATTACTCCTGTGTAGCAATCCTCCCATTTAATCCATTTTTGTAATAACTACTTCATTATATTTCCTTTGCTAACTTCTTGATCTATGAAACCATTAGCCTTCACAAACTCTTGTACACACCTTGAATTCTGAAGAGCTAATGATCTTCACAAAGGTTCAAAACCCTTCATACTGTAACAGTAATCTAAACAACCATGACTCTTTGTCATACATTACCCTTCTCAATCAACTACCAAGACTCTTATATATTCTCCCTTTTCTAATCTATCTCCTCATCCATACCCTATGAGGTGTGAGATGATAGGTTTTGAGCTAGCTCTCTTTCATACTGCTTAAAAAGAAGAGGATGGAGCAAATGCTGGGAGCATAAAATGAAGCTAAGAATTAATAGCTTAGAATAACCTATTACACACAGTTTACCGTAATCCATCACTAAACTGTAACATTGATGAGGTAAATATTTCTCAGCTACTCTGATTAACAAAATAAGCAGTGAGTTAAACATCCTTTTCATCTTTCATTTCAGAGAACTTATTTTTGTTACTCATTTCTAATATGATGTGCCCATCCTCTTAAGAGATTGTTGTACTAAAGCTCTGGGGATTTAAAAATATTTGAGAGTGTGTTTTAAGAGATGCTCATCATAAAAAGCTGATAAACATGTGGGGTGATATGAATGCCACTTTGCTTTACTGAGCTATTTTGTACCCAATAAATAATACAAATTAAAATTTGAAAAAATATGAAAAAATTCATAAATGTTTTTGCATAGTAAAGTGGAAAGGCAAGCCAGTATAGTTTGGCCCATTTTTTCAAACTTTTTGCATTGTGTTCAACGAGGATTAGATTGACAGATGCTGTTCCTAGAGAAGAGACTGAGCCAGCTGAATCAAAGGTAGATAGCAAAGAATTCTTGTCCATATTACTGCTTGCAAAGCTGCCAAAAACAAAGATACCTTGAGCTCTCTCAGGCTTTATCTTTTCCAATGGTAACTCAATTGAACCATTGCTTCCCATCTAGCAGTGGAATTCCAAGTGTATAGAATTGCTGTACATTAAATGAGGACAAAATGCTTTCAACAACAAAAACAAAATGAAGAAGCATTGCAAGCCTCATGCAATTATTATTCAACTAAATTTCTTTCAAACTATGTATGCCCATGACATTAAAGACTTTTAATTGATTCTGTCATTTAAAATTTGTGCACTTATTCCATCATTTGTTTTCTAAATTCAAACTGGTTTTGGTGTCAGTTTTAGAAATGCAAGAAACAGAAAGAATTTGAACTGAATGGAAAAGTTTATCTTAATCTTCATCACAGCATTGTGACCAATTACAGACATAGCAAAGAGAGGAAGTTTCAAAAATGTAGTTTTAAAAAACAAACAAAGGGCATTGAGCCTATAGTTCATGATCCTAGAGAAGCTAAGTAATAAGGCCAACCCAAAGAAAAACAAAAATAGACCCACCTGGGAATTAAAAACAAACAAGATCACCTGACAAAATTGGGAGCATGGGGGTGGGGGAAAGAAGGAAGGGCAGAAGAGGAGGGTTGAAGAGCACTTGAGGGAATGGAATAGTCAAGATAGGGGAAGGACAGATATGAGAGCAAGGAAAGAGATATCTTGATTGAGGGAGCCATTATGGGGTTAGCAAGAAACCTGGCTCTAGAAAAATTCCCAGGAATCCACAAGGATGACCCCAGGTAACATCCTAAGCGATAGAAGAGAGGGTGCCTGAACCGGCCTTGCCCTGTAGTCAGACTGATGATTATCTTAAATATCACCATAGAACCTTCATCCAATAACAGATGGAAACGGAGGCAGAGAACCACATCGGAACACTGGACTGAGGTCCCAAGGTTCCCAAGTTGAAGAGTGGAAGGAGTGAGAATATGAGCAAGAAGGTCAAGACCGTGAAGGGTTCACCCACTGAGACAGTTTGCCTCAGCTAATGGGAGCTCACCAACTCCAGCTGGACTGAGAGTAAATGAACATGGGATCAAACTAGTCGCTCTGAATGTGGTTAACACTTGGGGCAGACTGAGGGGCCACTAATAGTGGCACTGGGCTTTGTCTCTACTGCATGTACTGGATTTTTGGGTCTTTGAATGTAAACTTTGCTTAACCTAGATGTAGTAGGGAGGGCTTTGGACCTTCCACAAGGCAGGATGCCTTGCCATCTCTTAGGATTGAAGGAGGAGGGGTGTGAGGGTGTGTGGAGGGATTGGGAGGAAGGGTGGGAGTGGGAATTTGGATTGGTGTTTTTTAAAGTAATATAATAATAATAAAAAGACAAACAAAATATTTATGTAGTCAAGTGTAAGTTTTATATAAGTTACTGACAATAATTGGGAATCTATTCTTTCTGAGCAATTCTTTACTTTTTTTTTTTCTTTCTGGTTTTTCAAGACAGGGTTTCTCTGTATCTTTGGAGCCTGTCCTGGAACTAGCTCCTGTAGACCAGGCAGGCCTCGAACTCACAAAGATCCACCTGCTTCTGCCTCCTTAGTGCTGGGATTAAAGGCGTGCGCCACCACCACCTGGCCTTTCTGAGTAATTCTAAAAAAGAGTGGATTTTTCCTAGCATGATGGTCTTTTGTATGAGAAAGAATTCTTTAATACATTAGGACTTTCTTAGTTTTATTAAAACCCAAAGGATTGATTGTGTCTATGTCACCTCTTATTTTCATCTCAAAAAAGATCTTATCATCATCACCCTGTTTTTTACTTCAAAATTAGTAGCTGTAACAAAAGAACAGAGTCAAATTGATCTTAGAAAATGTGTGACAATTTTATCTTCTATCTATTCTGTAGATGAAAAATAGGCAACTGTCAAACCTCCTTTGGGGTCAAAGGCAAATCCCAAAGTCTAAATCCATGATTCATCCTTCTTGTAGATTAGTATGCTTAACATAGAAAACAATTCAATTCATGTGCTACCAATATACTAAAAAGTCAAATTAAACAATGTGCAATATTTTTTCCCAGTAAAATTCAGACAATAAAAACATTCACTCATATGAAAGAAACAATGGGGAGGCAAGACTCTTTTTATGTTTAGCGTGAACCCAAGATATGCTCATACTACTTAGACATGCTTGCCACATAGATTGACTATTCATCTCAGGTTAGCAGCAAACTGTGTGTTTCCCTATATAAAGTCATAAAACCTTAATTCTAAACCAATACCACTTGCTATAACTTTGAGATGGATGACATGTGTTAGAAGCTCCCTATATGGAGACTCTTAAGATATAGACATACAATATTACATGCTTTAGTTTGTAAACAATGGGTATGGTTTCAGAAATGAAATACTCTAGATTTTTTTTTAAAAATTAGGTAAATAAATATTGTGAGTGTGTCTGGACAGCTCTAGAGGTATTACATATTTGGAGTTATAGATGCAGTAGTAGCATCAACTCCTATCCCCCACATGAATTTTTTTTCTATTCCCAACAATTTAGCAACTTCAACTATCTCCTCTTTCTAAAAATATCACTCTCTCCCCATATACTAGTTTGTCTGTATACTAATCCAACATATTAAGAAAATCTTACCCTAAAGGTAAAACAAAAAAGAAGAGGAAAAAGGAAAATTTTTATTATTTCTTGTTTTTTGTTATCCTATAAGTTCATTAATACATCACTTGACACATTTGCAGAATGGAGACTACTCTTGTAGTGACCACAAATGACATCTTTCAAAAATTGTAAGAAATGACAAAAACCAGCTGGCTGCCTGGTTCCTCTGCAATGTTGAAGTATCCATCTTTGACCTATAGGCCTAGCACATCTGACAGACTTTTCTGTGAAACATGATATCCTTAAGGACTGTCTCTCCTTGTCTTGACACTGTTTGGCAGTCACTTTCTTTGAGTCTTGCTTATCCGATTAGGTCAGCATACTGTCAGTAGTCAACACGAGGGCACGTTCTTGCTTGTTGGCTTCCTTTTGCCACAAAGAAAATAAGCTCCATGTGGAGTTTCTTTGATATCCATCATTTTCTCTGAAGTAGATTGGTGCTGGTAGTACCAAATGTGTCTCATTGTCATAAAGAAAGAACCTATACTATTAAGCATCTTATATGCCATATTCTGGAGATCTCTGAAGTGTTTGAATATGATCTATGTAAAATATATCTTTGTTTGACCTTGAAAACATAATTAATGTGACTACAAATTTAATTATATTAAATGATTAACCACTAACCTGCATTTCCTTCTTATTACCCTAATTTTCCAAGACTATAAATTTTCATTACAACATTAAATGCATTATACAGGTACAATATCTTGAACAAGAGTAGAAATGTATGTACAATATGCTGTAACAAAATTAATCTCAAATTTGAATCAATATAACAGAAAAGGGGAGGTATTGTGGGATTCCCCTGTATACTGTGAATACCATTGGTTAATAAAGAAACTGTTTTGGGCCTGCACATGGAATAGAGGTAGGCAGGGAAAACTAAATTGAATGCTGGGAGAAAGAAAGGCAGAGTCAGGGAGAATCTATGTAGCCCTGCTGGAGATAGATGCCAGAACTTTAGCCGGTAAGCCACAGCCACGTGGGCATACACAGATTAATAGAAATAGGTTAAATTAATATATAAGAGTTAGCAAATAAGAAGCTATAGTCCATGGGCCTCCATCCTGTGATCAAGATATGAGCTCTCACCTTTTTCTGCTTTCATACCTTCACTCTGCCACCATGGACTCTAATCCCCTGAAACTGTAATACCAATTAAATACTTTCTTTTACAAACAAGTTACCTTGGTCATTGATTTTTTTTTCTCAGAGAAAAATAAAAAAAGTAACTAAGACAGAAGTGAACATTGGTACCTAGTGGATTATTGCTGTTAAGATCCTGACCTTGTTATGTTTGGAGGAATGTGGGAGACTTTGGGACTTTAGACTAGAAAAGTGGTTGAACACTGTAAGAAGAGTCTAATGGGTCATCCTAATAGAGACTGGAAGACAATTGCAGTGAGAGCCATGTGGACTATGGAGCTCAAGAGGTTTCAAAGTAAAGATAGACCCTTAACAACAGCTGGGTGAGAGGTCATTATTGTAATATTCTCATTTAAAATGTGGCTACCTTCATCCCTTGTCCTACAAATTTATCTAAGGATAAATTTAAAAGTAAATTCTTTGGTAGAGGAGACTACCAGGCTGCCTAGCATTGACGGTGTCATGTAGTTATTAGTGACCGTTTTTATGCTATTCTACAATGAAAAAGAGCAAATTGAGAAAAAAGAAACACAAAATATACAGTCTGAAAAGAAAAGGAGCACCAGGATATTAAATGTTGGCACCAAGGAGATTAAGCCAGGGTTGGATCTTCAGTGAAAGAAAAGGAGGGACTTCTCCAGGACTAGACTCACCCAGGCAAACTTCAAACTTAAAAGAGACTTAAGGAATTTGCTCTTCCTAAAAAACAACAATGAAGCCGATTGTGGTGCACTCTTTTAATCCCAGCATTTGGGAGGCAGAGGCAGGTGGATCTCTGAGTTTGAGGCCAGCCTGGTCTACAAAGCAAGTTCCACGACAGCCAAGGCTATACAGAGAAACCCTGTCTCTAAAAAGTTTTTTAAAAGGAACAACAAACTAAGGCTGTGGAAAAATGTGTTTCAAGAAGCCGTGGCTTGATCCCAAGTGGGCAGTCAAACTTGGCAGTGTTGTCTGGAGAGTTCAGACTTTTGATTCATAAAGGATGCATGATTAAAGAGCTCATAGAATCTTCCTCTAAGGTTAATGAGTTCAGCTGATGTCATGTGTGCAGCAGCACAGCCCTTGTGTGGCAGCCCCGAGAGGCCGTTATGTAAGGTTGTGAAAATGAAGGCGTAGTTACTTTGGACATCCCAAGATGTTATAGCCATGCATGTCATAGATGTGAGTTATCTGCCAAGCAGAGCTGCAAACAAGCAGCCTAATTTAACATCACAACAGCCATAACAGGCTACACCTAACTTGTATGTAGGTTGCCAATTTCCTTGCAGTAACACCAGTACCAATCCCTGTTCAACAAAACTTCTGTTACCTCACTCCTGCCCAATTAGGAGTTCAACCCCGATCTGAATCTGCAATTCCCCTAAACCCCTCCCCCCCTTTGCTCCTTAAAACCATACCTCAACTAAGTTCAGGGTTCCCTGATCTAACTGCTGTGTTAGAATGGATGGAGATTCGAGCTTGCAATAAAGACTCTTTGCTTTTATATTCAAACTCAGGACTCTTGATGGTCTCTGGAGGTGGGGCTTATGACAGAGTCATAACAGAATCAGCTCAAAAGAGACAAGTGCCTCTTCCCACAGGCAGCCAAGTGGGAAGGAAAGAAACATCTAAGCCCTTTGACATCAGGCATTACTTTCAGAGTTTGGATTTTGCCCTGCTGAGTTTCTATCCTGTTTTGTTCCAGTAGTTTCTTATCATGATACTATTCCTCCCTTTTGAAATGCATTGGTAATACATATACTCTGCCTTTTTTATGCTTGAAATATGTAATTTGATTTTGATTCTGTTGGGGTTTATGGCTAAGAGATTGCCTTGAGTCTCTGAAGAAACTCGAGACTTTTAAACACTTATGGAGATGAAAAAACTATGGGGACTTTTGACCTTGGACTCAATGCCATTTACACTATGATATGGTCATGAATCTATAGCGGCTGGGTAGTAATGTGGTGGTTTGAATGAGAACACCTTCCCCACATGCTCATGTGTTTGAATACTTAGGCCCTAGTTGGTCTGACTGCTTGGGAAGAATTCAGAAGTGTGGCTTTGTTGGAGGAGGTGTGTCACTGGGCATGAGCTTTGAGGTCTCAAAAGACTCTCCCACGATTTCCAGTATTTCCTCATTGCTTCCTGGTTGTGGATAACGGTGTGAGCTCACAGCTGTTCCTGCCATCATGCCTTTACCCTGCTATCAGATACATTAAGTATCTGAAGTCATGTTACATATTAAATGTTGCAGAATATCTGTTAAACTATGCAAAGATGTGTTGCATTTGTTTATGTTGTGAAATATTTGTTTATGTAAAGATATGCTAGATTTGTTTAACTATATGAAGGTGTGTTGCATTTGTTTAATTATGTAAAGATGTGTTTGTCTTCCTAAGGTACCTGCCTAGCCTAATAAAAACTTGGACAGCCAATA